GGTCGTATTAACGTCTAACGACGGCAGTATAACGAGATTGAGCCGTTGTCTTCTGGTAAGATCAGCCTAGGAATCTGTTGAGATGTATTCACCCTATTTTGTCTAAGGTGATGAAGGACTTGTAGAAGAAGAAGTTTCCCACAATGATATGAGTTGAGCTGACGTTTCTATTCAATTTCACATAGCCTTGCTTTCCCAAAAGTTGTTCTCGGGAAAGCAAAGCTATGTGGAATTCAATGAAAACGTCAGCACAACTCATATCATTGTGGGAAAATTCTTCTTCTACCAGTCCTTCATCACCTTGAACGAAATTCGGTAAATACATATCATATTACTGATTTACTGGTAGTCTGGAAACTCTACTCTAATACGAAAATAGGAATCTATTCTTCATGCAATTTCATAAAAAAATAAGGCCTCCCCAACAATGTTATCTCAGGAGCTTCGTCTAAACCCAGTTACTCTCCGTAGCCAAAGGTGAAATTTAGTCTCTACCTCTCCCAGGTTTTATCAACTAGCAAAAATGTATTTGCAATTGTACTCGATAATGCTACTTATTTTCACTATAAGTAGATCTCGAAGCTATCATAATTCTTAAATAAGAACTTAAATACCCTCAGTCGTCTTAGTAACTTTAAACTAGCTATGGTGACTAATTGCTCAGTATTTTTGTGTCCTTACATTTGCGATCTGAACCAGACGGCTTTCTTTGCCGAAAACTGAACCTCTGACTGTTCCGGGAGCCCTCGTAGCCTTGGCGACGACAACGCTACATCCAAAATGAAAATCAGTTCGGTTGAGTTGAGACCTCGCAATTTGGGCTGCAGGTCAGAATCATCCTTCAGCGGATGGTATGCTCTGCTTGGGTTGCCAGAGCAACATGATCGCGCTTGACAATGGTCGCCTGTAGACCGAGGGTAGCAACCAAGCCAGCCTTGACGAATGAGCCATCTACAAGTGATCCGAAAGACAGTATCTCCGCCTCCACCAATTCGTCATGGCCTCGGTCAGCCTAAAAGTTGTGACAGCTACAAACATTAGATATAGGACAGTTTGGCGCTCCCAACTTCATCCCCTCGGTTAGCCTGCCAACTGCAAAGCTGACTCATCATCTCGTCATTTCCCACTGATTCCTACCGAGGCTCCGCCCAACCGAAGTCTGCGGGGCATAAGTCTGGTGTCTGAAAGCCGGTCGACTGGTCTGCGCTTCGTCTTTACGAGAGGCGGAAGTGACGAATGTACCGAAAGCGACATAATGAATTAGTATTCCCATGGCGCATATAGATCAATATTATTAGTATATTATTATTATTAGTAGTAATATTATTAGTATTAGTAGTAGTAGTATATTTGCTGGAAGCAGTCTGGTCAAATGGGGGGGTCGGTAAAACACTGTCCGTGGGCAGGCGACCTGGCTGGAGGCGCATGTGAGCGAGGGGTGACTACATGAGGGGCAGATGGCTGTGGTCAAGACGACGCAGTCGGACAAGGGCATAGCAGGCTCGTCATCACACTCAGGTCGCATGGGTGCAGTTGTTATGGAGAAGGGGGGCAAGAGTTGGGGCTCGGAGGAGCGGCATGTGGAAAGTTGAAATAGGTCCGAATCGCGATGTACGAGACCGACGAATGCCAGCCTCTATTTTAGCATCAAATTTGCTTCGAAATATACCCATTTCTGGCGGTTATACTCCAGACAAACGGCAGTAGGCAAGAGAGCTGCCAGCGCCGATTTTTTTTTCAAAGTGTCAAACATGGCGATTGAAGCGAAAAGACTGTGTTGCCGGGAGCCGGGAAAGAATCTGCAGAATAGAAAAACCTACGGACCGCTTGTAAAATAAACACGTAAATAAAATTGCGAATATTCTTGGCACTTAAGCGGAAATTCTAGTAGTATCACTACAACACCTCGTTATGTAGCTTCTTTTGTAGATTATAAAGTGTTTTACGGAGCTTATTTCGTTGCAGAGATCGTTTTTTTATGAGCCCGCATAATCCTGAAAACCATCAATACACTCTACATTTCTGAGTTGTTTACATTCATTTTAGTTGAAAAAAATCCGCGTATCGCTTTTACTCTTTGTGACTTATTGTTAAACCGTTGATGTGAAAGTGTTTGGTGAAGAGATTCGAAGGTCGATTCAATCAGAAGACGAGGGCGGATTGAATTTGGTTGTGACGATAATACCTCGCTCTGATGATGTCCGTCATATGACGGACGAGAGCTTAGCACCTTTTCAGCGGAATCGAAGGATATTGCCTCGGAAACAGCGTCAGCATGAATGTGGAATCGACCTTCGAATCTCTTCACCAAACACTCTCACTCTAAATGGAAATGAAACGAGAGATTCCTCGCAACCCAACTTTTCTTAGAAAAATTATTAAACATTTCTAATACAAATAAATAAATAATTATATATATATATATATATATAATTATATGATATATCATATTTTATATAATGTTAATTGAATTTTAAAGATTCCGATTAGATGGGTTTAAGATAATCTGGGTATTATGGAGCAGTTAAACACTCATATATGTCCGCATAGCTTGTCGGTCTTGAAGAAAATGCCATAAACACTTTCTTGTGCGGGCGCTTTTGCAGCTACCCAGACTAACGTGAAAGGAAGAATTAATTTCGCCTAAAATGCCTTATAGTCAAATTCAGATTGACGTTTCCACAGACAAAATTATTCCTTCACTGAAGGCATGGGCAAAGCGTCGACTATTTTTCTCCTCACTTACAAACTTGAGTATTCTCTCCTATTCGTCACAGAGACCAAATATAAATGTTATTTACTCTTCAGATTTGCTGGCGAATAGAAACTATAATGTCGATGCAATCCAGTAGTTCGTTGTTTTTAATTGACTCACTAATAATGTCGAAGATGAGGAATTTATCTCTTATTTTTTTAGAATTTAATAAATGTGGTGTCTTGAGCTCTACAAGAAAATCAATTGCACACAATTCTAAATAATTTGAGCGTATGAACCGATCAAAATATCATACTTTTTATGCTATTCTTGCAAATAATTTTGGACTTGAAATTTATTCGCAAATCTTTTATAGTTGGTTCTATATCAAGGCTTTTGGTTATACAACTGAACACTCAATTTAGGCTGCTCGTAACAATAAATAGGCAAATATATTTCAATTGGTTGCGACCTACCAGGACGATCCGGTTATCCAAAAGATAAAGTATTCTTCTCCTGGAACTTTGGAAACACCGAGGATAGTTCACATGAGTAGCCTTATCGTCACACGTATGGAACGCACAAACACGCTATCGAAGAGTTGGGTAAGTATAGCACTCTAATGAGAATATTTCCATTCTTCCGATAGAGCCGCGGCTGTTCTTGAGGAGGAGTAAACAACAGTTGTTGGGAGACAGCTCAGACTGCTTTGGATTAGGGTCAAGCACCCTGATTACCAAGATGGGAGATGTGGAAAGCCTGCGACCGGATTGGCTGGATATGGGCCAATCAGAAAGCAGGACGTATACCTTCGTTTAGCACCTACTGCAAATGGGACGGGAATGTAAAAATGAGGCACCATTGCATTTAGCAGCAGACTCAACGCATATTCTGTGAAAATGCCAGGGCTTATTTCCTAGTTTGGTACAAAAAGACGAGCAGAAGTTAAAGCTTGTGGCAGTGGGATTGAATGGGGTTTCGGGAGTGGGCGACGTTTCATAGGCGCCTATGCTGACCGGTTGCGAGGGAAGGCAAAAACGGCTTAAAGCAAAGTGGAATAGGTCGTAGCTCTTTTTAGAATTTCCCGCATTCCATGCAACCGGGAATATCATATACGTGAATTATCCAATGTACTTTCTTGCATCCTGTCAAGTTGACTCTGCTGATGCCTGATTTGAAGCAGCGGATGGCAACAGCTGAAACTCCCACAATTCAAGACTAGACACGAAGAGTAACGTGAATTGGAGCATGCGGTGTTTCATAGAGGTTGTCTGACCTTGTTTTCGCAACCTGATCATTTTGGTAGGAAGACTTAGAAGAACTCATCCAGTCCGGAGTTCATTGAATGTATGATCATTTCCAGAGTAGGACCGTGTACGTGGTACATTCTCAGACATTTTTCATGCTTAGCAACATATCACAACTCGGCAAAGAGACATATAAGTGTTTAGAACACATTTGGTCAAAGGATCGACTTCACTTTTCTCTCACGAATTGTTGTGTGGTGCTAAGAATGACGGACTCACTGACGATGCCGGCGAAACGTCTGGGAATGTACCACGTCCACGATCTGACTTTGGAAAGGATTCTGCATACAGTGGACTCCGGATTAGGTGTGTTTGTCTAAGTCACGAAAACAGGGTCAAACAACTTCGACTCCCGCTGAGGGTGTTGATAAGACCAATGCGAGGTCGAAACTGCAGTCCACTGGTGCGTGGATGAGAACA